ACAGGAGAATCCAGCTGCCCTTCTATTACATGGCCTGCCCCTTGCCCAGCCTCCACGCCTGGCCTGGTGTGGAGGCGGGGCAAGGGGCAGGCCATGTAATAAAAGGGCAGCTGGAGGCCGGGAGCCAGCAGCAAAGGGAGGGGCAAGAGGACCAGAATTCGAGGCATGTGAAGGTCAGGGGTCAAACAAGCAGATCAATCAGAGTAGTTTTCAATTCACCCTAAGCAAGTGTTAGAGGGGGGAGGAGAAGCTGCTTAGATCCTTCGGAGGAGACCTGCTCTCAGATCTCAGGGAGGATAAGTGAGGGGAAAATGCTAGCGAACATTCACGCAGCACTTCCACATGCCCGAGACTGCTTGCCGCATTTGACATGGTCATGACTCTCACCCATCACCCCCATTTTACAGGCTGGAAAGCTACCGTAGGTGAAGTTAAGGAAGCTGTTCTGGGACAGGCAGCACAGTGGAGCCAAGGCCTAAAGCCTGGCTCCCCCCGGTTATCACGGTGCGGCGGCGCGCTGGGGAAAAGAGGGGTGTCGGGCAGTGCCGGACTCGCCCCTCTATCTTCCTGAAAATGGCAAGCAGCCCGAGGCTCTCTGCTTCAGGAGGGAAAGTGTGTCCAGCAGTGACAGATCTCTAACTTGCTGATGTCACCCCAGCAGGCAGAGCAGCCTCCCAGCAGTCTGTGTGCCCTTTCCAGAAGAAACTCACCTCTCTTGACTGAGCCTGCAAGAAAAACAGTTAAGTCCAAGACATGGTTTGTGGCCATCCGAGGGCCGCATCCCCTTCACTGGATGTCTGCAGCTAATCCCCCTGCCATTTCCCCACGGGGGCTCTGAGGGCCATGGTCTAAAGGGTTAACATCTCATTTCCTCCTGTCTTTCAAGCCTTAATCCCCATCCTGAGTTGGGTGCATTCCAAGCCCACCTGGAGCAGGTCAAGACGAGCCTGGCCCATGGCTGGCCCTTCATTTCCCCTGGCAGGAGATTAGATGGGGCGCCCATTAATCACTCATTACTTGGGTCCTCACTGCTGGCCAGCCCTCGGGCAGCCAGCCAGCTGGCTGGGAGGGTGGGGCAGGCCCCACCCCTGCCCCGCCCAGCCCAGGTCCAGGACTGCCCAGTGCCACCCTGCTGGGACGAGACACCACAGTACAAGGCTGGCCCTGTGTCCTCTGGACCACACCCAAGAGGAGAGGGATTAAGGGACAATTCTACCAAGATCCTGGCAGTACCACTGGTACTGCCAAGGCACCGAGTGATCAGCTTCAGCAAGGCCCCTCGGAGAAGACAATGTGCAAAGTGTGTTTGGGTGAGAGATTAGGTCAAAGGAAGACATCGGTAGAAACAGACCACTAAACCACGATGACTAACCAATAATAAAGAAAACTGCTGCCTAATTGCTTCTTAGATTCTCCTGGGAGGAATCCAAAGAAAAACTGATGTGGGGAAAGGATGCAGAGTGGAGAATTCATTGCTGTTATTACTGCCCAGCTGGGTGTGTTCATCTGCTGGGTTTCAAAGGGGGCCCTTTATACACAAGCCCCCTGACCTGAGAAGGCCTACAATTATATTTTTTTCTACTGCACATATATTGGGCACCAAGAGCCTGTCGGGCACTGATCAGATACAAGTGGATAAGAAAAATAGGACAAAAACTGACACTGAACACCTACTACGCGCCAGGCCCTCACCAAACGCTCTGCGTGCCTGCACCCTGGCCCCTACAGCACCCCCTGGGCTTTGCCCATCCCTTTATCACCGATGGGGAAACCAAGGCTAGGGGGCAGAGAGGGGCAAAATAAAGGCTTCTAGAATGAAGGAACTCTGTCAATGACCAGACCCCATTCTGGTGCAACTCACTGTGCCTACAGGGGGTCACTGGCAAGGGATGGTTGGCCCTGTTTGGGGAATCCCAGCCCAATCCTTACCCCAAGAAGTTTGGGGGTTCCCATATGACCCACCCCGATCCTTCTCCCTCAGCACTTGCTCAGGCCCAGAAAGCAATTCACAGTGAGCCAGATGGAGGCAGGACTTCCACACCTGCTCCCATCAGCGGGTGGGGAGTGTGCTTTCAGGACCGAACTGAAGACCCCTTTCACCAAAAGAGGGTTCTCCACCTGGCCTGGGCCACCATGCTCCTTGGCTCACTCCTCAGAGCAGGGGTGCAAACTCATTTTCACCGGGGGCCACATCAGCCTCGTGGTTGCCTTCAAAGGGCCGAACGTAATGTTAGGGCTGTATAAGTGTAACTGCTCCTTAACAGTTAAGCAAGAGCTCGGCCCTGCCGCCGGGTACAAACATGGTGCCGGGCCAGATAAAACAAGGTGGAGGATCAGATAATTTGGCCCACAGGGCTTGTGTTTGCCCCCTGTGCCTTAGAGTCAAAGGCCTCTGTTAAAAAAGGAGCCTGTTACCTGGAATAAAGTGGCTTAGGAATTGACCACCTGTCACGTGAGCCTGCAAAAGAATCGCCTGAGACAATCTTAAAAATGTCAACTCCTAGGCCCGCCTCCACCATGGAATCTTTTTTAAAAATCTTTTTCCACCAGATCCTAACTCCGATTCAGATGTTCTGAAGACAACCCTTTCAGGAAAAAAATGATGCACTGGAAAGAGCGCCAGACTCAGAGAGCTGGGTTCTAAGATTTAGGTTCAAAACCTGAGCTGTCGACTTCAGGCAAGTAACCCGGAGTCTTCTTCCTTATAAAACGCAGACGATGACATCTCCACCATGGGTGCCGGAGGACTAACGCACAAGCACAGTGTGCACCCATGCTCACCAAACATAACCCAAGTAAGTTCATCAGGCCAGCGAGGCGCCCAGAACCAGAGAGGTCAAGTCGGTACATTGTGGGAAGAAAAGAGGGCAAAACAGGCCCAGGAGATGTGGGGTGTCCCAGCACCAGGGCACGGATCCTGCCGGGGAGGAGCGAGAAGGAGGAGGGGTCCTGAAAAGGAGCAGAGTCGGAAGAGCAAGGACCTCCCACTGAACACCCTCCCTCCTCCAGCTGCCCCCCCCTTCCCAGCATCAATCTGCGCCAAGTGTTACTCCTGACATCACATTTCTGACCCATTATTTTCAGAGAAGACAGTCAATAAGTGGACACGAAACCTTTATATCCACACATTGCACACGTAAATATCACAATTCTGTGTGCACACGTGCACACACAACCCAGATAAAAGGGAGGGCATTCAGAGAAAAGAAGAGAAAGATGAAGAAAGTGGGACCCTGGTGAGTCACTTTCTGGAGCCTGCCAGTGCCGGTAATGAGCTGGCACCGTGCTACCTGCCCAGGAGAGGCCCACAGAGCAGAGGCCAAGGGGCTGCTTGGAGAAACTTCAGGTTCCCTGGGAAGATCCGGCTCGCCCACCCAGACTCGTCCAGGCTGAATGGAGAGTAAGGGCAGAGAACGCAGAACACAGCCGGTGGTCCACGGAGGGACAGAGACACGGGGAATGTGCGCGGAGGCTGGGACACACTTCCTGGATGAGCAGGGAGGACGTCTGAACGTCTGAGCCGCAGCGAAGAGGCTGCGTAAATGGAGTGAGGGTTCCAGGCAGGAAAGAATTGGGGCGTCTGGCATCAATAAAGCACACTGGTATTACAATGGTTTTAAATGCTCCGATGAAGAATGACCTGGGTTCAACCCTGTCCATAACAGCACTTCCATATCTCTAGAGCTTTGCTCAAGCTCTTCCCCCTAGCCAGTACCCCTCCCTTCTTCCAGCCTTTCCTCCCTCTTTGGACTCCACCTCATGCTTCAAAGCCTGGCTGTAATTTCCCTAGCTCCTCCCATGCAGAAAAATGTGTCCCTCATCTGTGCCTCCTTGATGTCTTGCACACCCCCAATATTCCGCATTGTTTTTTTGCATGTGGTTATTTCTTTATGTCTCTTTCTCTCCCAGGTGGCCATTAATCATCTGCTAGCCTGTCAACAAATTGAGGGCAAGGACATTGTCTTGTTCTTCCTTGAAGCTCCAGCATTCAGTTTACAGTCCCTGGCATACAGCAGACACTTGAAAATATCTGCTGGAGGCAAATTAAATAGAAATGAATCTGTGGGGGGTGGTACTGTGATTTCTTGAGAGGAATGATGTGGTGAAATCAGAATTTTAGGAATATTAATCTGTCAGCATGAAAAAAGATGGATTAAAATGAAAAAAAAAGAGAGACCGTGGCCAGGAGTCAAGAGAGGACATTATCGCTGTAATTTGGACGGACGGTGAGGCAGAAGGAATGGAGACAGGAAAGTAATTTTCAGAGATATCACAAAAGAATGTAGAAGGGACTTGGTAATAAATGAGCAGTGAATGTGGGGGGTGGGACCAGGGGCGTCAGGAGCACTCAGACGTGGAGACTCTGGGACAACTGGGGGAGAGGTGGTGCCATGGGGAGAAATGTGGGGGACGGAGCAGAGGGATGCTATCGGCCTCTCCCTAGTGTAATTAGTTGCCATCCTGACAAGCATTTCTAAGCAAAACAAAAACAATAACACCTCCAAATCAGAATTTCCAACCCTGATCTTACTCCCCAACTTTGGGTTGTATTTTATTTTATTTTACTTTTTCCTAACAGCCAGCCAGAAACTTTTTTCATGACAGGGGAGACTGAGATGAAGATAGCACCCACCTGTGCTCCGCTCAGTGCCCGGCAAGGACAAGCCCCCATGAGCTGAACCCACCAGGCCTCCCCACACAGGCCCAGGGGAAGCACTGCTTACTCAGTAAACACCGGGCTCTCACTTCCCAGGCCAGCACCTCTGGGGAAGCCCCTGCTCCAGTCCTGCACAGGCTCATAGGAAAGTCCCAGGACTCCCATCTGCTCCCTCGAATCAATTCCTCGGCAAGGACTTTGTTTTCTAAAGGAATTCAACGGTGGTGCCAAAAAATATATATAGGAATTGTGGAGCACTGTATTCAAATAACGTTCTTCAAATGTTTGCCTCTTTATATTTTGAGACCCAGTAAGACCTTATCAAGCCCGACCAATTCATCACCTTTATCAGCGAGGGAGAAGACAGGTGCAGGCTGTGCAGGTTTTAAGCACTGTACAACCTTTGAAACATCTTTCGACTATTCTGTGTCTGGGTGCCTTCAGTTGCGACGTGACAGTTGGACAAGATAATTCCTTAGACCTCTCTTGGGTCTCTGTTTCTCTTACTCCAAATTCCAACAGGCATCCCACCAGATCGCTCAGCTACCAGGTCCAAGACTTCAGATTCACTTCCTGCCTGCAGAAGCAGAAGCGCTGCGTGGTGGGGTCACAAAGGAGACGGGAAGAGACCCAAGTACGCACAATAAACAGGCATAAGTAGTGTGGGCTGGGGGGCGCGGGGCTGGGTATGGACTAAGCAGGAAACACCAGACCCACACATTGCAGATGCTACGTGGGCCTAAGAACGTCCTGAAGCCCCTTCCCAAGTTTGGGCTGATGTTATTTCAAAGAAAAAAAAAATTAGCTCCCAGGCCCCTGAAGCTCCAAGGTGAGCTAGCTCTGGAAAAGCTAATTCTAAGAGCGCGCCAAGGGACTGCAGGTACTTGAGCTGCACTCGGGGAAGTGTCCAGAGTTGGTGGAAACAACACATCCTCTCCGACTCCCACAAGCGCCAGGTTGCCCCGGCTTAGCTGAGACGCACGAGGATCTGAGGCTTTTTAGGAAACGGCGTGGCCGAGGCCCGCAGCTCGAGGCGCTTCAACCTAGACCGGACCCAGCTAGCTCTTGGCCGCGGTGGGGTGGGGGCGCGCAGGCTGGGTGTGCACTCGCCGGCCCCTGCGGAGACCCAGAGCGCGCGGGCTCGGACTCCGGGACTGCCAAAGTGGACTGTCCCAAGAGTTTCAGAGTTGGAGGGCGGAGGGGTGATTGCTGGCGCCGGAGGGGCAGAGCAAATCCTCCAGGAAGCGCAGAGAGGAAAACAGCCGTTAGCAGGGACCTGGCGCGGCCGGCTTCCAGAGCCGGGTGCGGGCGCAGTCCTGAGTGCCCCGGACACACCCACTGCGCCCTGGCGCCCCGCGCCCGTCGGAGCCGCGGCTCAGAGGGGGCCCGAGAGGCGGCAGCAGCGGGGCTGGGGCGGGGCGGACCCAGCGCGAGGGGGAGCGGGGCACGCAGCGCGGGCAGCTCTGCTCACCTGGCGGTCCACGTCCTGAGCGGCCAGCGGCCGCCTCGCCTCGCCCCTCGTGGTTCCAGGCGCCGGGCAGCCCGAGCCCGCCTCATGGACCGCTGCCGCCGCCCCCGCGCCCACCCTAGACGGACTCCGGCTGCGCCCGGGTTCCGCGTCGGTCCGCGCGGGCAGCCAGCGGCTCGGGCGCGCGCGGAAAGCTCTGGCTCGGAGTTTGCGATCTGGAGAGCCGGGACCCGCGCTCCTGCGTCCCTCCTCCCTCCCGCGCTCGAGGCCTCCTGCTGTCATCTGGGGCTGCTCCTGCCGCCGCCTGGCGGCCGCCTCGGAAACAGCCAGCCCCCCAGCCCTTCCCTGTGACTCCTGAGGCCTCTTCCAAGGATGAAAGAGGCAGATCCCTGGGTCCCATCCCATACTTGGACCGGCAGTCTACGCAGAGGTTAAGAGGGTGGCGAGAGTGAGAGGGAGAATGGACCGGGCTGGCTATGTCTGGTGAAACCAGGAGGTAAGCAAGGGCCAGATGGTGGAAGGTCTTGAATTCCACGTGAGTCTTATCCTGAGGTTTACGGGATATATCAAAGGACTGAAGTACGGAAGGGAGGTGGACATCCTTGGGTTGCAGAGCAGGATGGGGCTGGGGCAGTAAGCCAGCAAGGAAAATTGTTCTGTAAACCAGAGAGGAGGAGGTGGTGATGGGAAGAGCCCTTGTCTAAAGGGCACGCACAGTCACAATCACTCACGAGAGGGCTCACTGGGCTCCTGAAGGCAGGAGGAAAGGACAAGAGCCCTCCCAAGGCTACCTGGGGCTGGGCGGCATGGGGGGAGAGGAAACGCTCCCTGGCAGGAGTGGCCCAGCATTGCTTCTTGATTATGAAGGGTAATACTGTGTGGTAAGAAAAAAACATGCCACAAAATCATCCTCGTTGTAATCATCCTTATCAAACTTTGATCTGTATATCCAAGCCCATCTTTTTACTAACTGGGAAATATTGTCCCCAAAAGGGCATGACCAAAATTGCACAGCTAGTTAGTGGCAGGAACACTGCTGGAGCCCAGATTCTGGACTCCTGACGCAGGGCTACACTCTGTACACCCACAGACAGGTGTCTAGAGCTAGTGAGGTGGGAAACAGAGCGAGGACAGTGTCTTTCCTCACCAAGAAGGGGATGGAAGAGGCCTGAAATGTCGGGAGAGGCTATCCAGACACAGGCAGTCTCCCTAAATATGAGGCACCCTGTTGGTTTACCACTGCCTCCCAAGTCCAAAGCAGGAGTTGCTTTCAAAGTGCAGGTGCAGGGTGGGACAGGGAAAGTGGTGGTAGAAGGCAAGGTGCCTGTCCCAGAGCCAGACAGAACCAGGGAGGGGGTGCTGTGGGGGTTGGGGGAGGGGGGAGCCACAGGGCAGAAGACTCCAGGGAGGAAAGCATGAAAAAAGAGAAAGTAGCAAAGCAAGGGGTCAGACCAAAGAAAGAGAACCAACTTGGAGTGCCGACTTCAGGCCCAGAGCCTGGGCAGAGCCAATTCTCATGGATTCACTGGTTCAAATCGGGTGAAAAAAAATTCCTCACTTGATGTTAAACAGCTTCTTGATGGCAGGCACCTGGTGTGAGTGGGATTACACTAATTCTGAGTGTCACAAATCCCAAAGGTCCAGATTAAGTGGATCAAACAGTTCTAATCAATTCTGGCCAATTTTAGCCATTTCATATGATAGAAAAAGAATACAACATTGGAATGGGCTTAATGTCACTGAATTGTACACTCACCAAAAATGGTAAAAATGATAAATGTTATGTAATGCGTAGTATACCAAAAGTTTTAACAAGAAAGCAAAACTTATAAAACATGTTCAAGTTGGATTGGTTTATAAATTCATTGAAGAGCTATGTACTGAATACTGAAAAGGGCTTGGTGTTAGGAAGTAAAGATGAAATGAAAACAAATTTTTTTCAGTCCAGAAGAAGCTCAGAATAAGATGAGGAGGTTGTCAGCTGCCACGAGGTCAGGAAACCACCGTACTGGTAGGTGGCCGTGTCATTGCCAGACGTGTGGAGGTGGCTGAGGCCTCCTGGCAGGGCAGGGGGCGCCTGAGACCTCCCTCTAGGCTGAGCTTTAGGGAGTGAGCAGGGTCATCAGTCGGGGCTCAGGAGGGAAGAATACCAGTTTTTTCAAAACCTAATTTCAGATTCACAGACAAGTAGCAAAAATAGTACGAGGAATTCCCTTACATCTCCCACCCTTACATTTTCCCTCAGCATTAGCATCATAAGTAACCAAAGTACAATTATTTATTGGCCGAACTTGATCCATCTAACCTAGGCTGGCTCATCAGAACTACTTCTGATCCACTTCAAATTGTTCCGATCGTACATATCACAGAATGGTCTTTATTGAAGTCCAGACTATACTGTAAAATCTGCTAACATTTTAAACAAAAAGATATTTACATTACCTATCAGCACCAGTGAGTATTAATCATTAAAAACGAGTCTTTAATCTTTCAGTCCTGGTGTGTTTTTCCTTCAACCCCAGTGTGTGTGTGAGTGTGTGTGTGTGTGTGTGTGTGTGTGTGTGTGCGTGCGCGCGGAGGGATCAGACTGGTGGGGTCTGGTCCCATGTATCCGACAAGCTACTAACCCCCACCTGCAGAGAGGACAAAGGAGAGCGGGTGCCTCAGATCACAGACACCACCCCGAGGCATCTCCCTGGCATGTCAGTGCCTTCTATACAGAGCATCTTGGTGGTTGGGTTGTCAGGTACCCTCTTGCATATCTGCATGACGGGGCGCTCACCGCCACATGCTGTTGTTGGAGGCTCTCTGTTTGAAAGCCCTTTTCCATAAGAACTGAAAACCTTTTCCCTGTGACTTCTACCCAAATGACAGACGAAAAGCATAACCCTCTGTCACGTGTCAGCTCTGTATATGTAGGACAGTTTTGTTGACACCTGTTTTGTCAGTCTAATTATTAATGTATTATTAATAGTGCCCCCTTCATTCTGTTGTCCCAGTGGTGATAATATATGATGTTTGTCCTGCTGAAGAGTTCCTCCTCCCACCTCAGTATGGCTGTCTCCTGCCGAGGGCCACAGCCTCAGCATTCAGCCGATCCGGGGACGGGGTGCGGCCCGGAGCATAGTGTCAGCATCCTGGAGTGCTCACATGTGTCTGAGGACTGGTGGCAGGCTGCTGAGAGAAACTTCTGGGATTCCAGAGCAGAGTGTGAACAGACCACAGGAATGCAACCTGGGACAAGCGGACCTCCGTGGGGGCCTCCGGAGTCCCACAACTGCTGCACTTCACTGATAAGCTCTGACTGTGAAGCTTTTCACCAGCAGAACGTTTCTGGGGGCTGGAGTCCCAAAAGCTACACTTTGGAAAATACTGCTCTGCATTCTTGACACACACTGGTGTTTTCATCCTAATGGCATTTCAGAGGGCTGTGTCCCAGCGGGGAAGGAAACCCCTATATTATCCCCACTTTGTTAATGTTTTGGAGGAGGAAGGGAAACAGACATGTGTTCAAACCCCTAATTTCAGGCTGCAACGAGGTACCGGGACCCATCACGACGCTTACAAAACTGTGCCTTTCGTTTTCTTGGCCGTAAATTTGCAGACTGTAAAGTCAAGGAAGCTCGTGCCAGTGAATAACAAGGAAACAAGGGAAGCATAACAAACAAACAAGCCACAACTCAACCATTCTGACTCGGTAAATTAGTCATTGTTTTAAGCAGGTTCTAAGCACCGGGGGTGAGTGTTAAGAAGCCAGTTGCCTCCTTACTTCAGTTCCTTCTCATCCTCCTCCCCAGCGTGTGGCGTGTTGACCCAAAGACTGTCCTGCAAGTGTGTTCCCCCCGTCAGTGAGTCAGCGGGTTGTCTCTTTGTTCTGTGGATGGTTTCTTTTGCGGTACAGAAACTTTTCGGTTGGATATAGTCACATTGTTTATCTTGTCTTTTCTTTCCCTTGCTTGAGGAGATATATCAGATGAAATACTGCTGCCAACCACGACCGAGATTTTACTGCCTACGTTCTCTTCCAGGGTTTTTACAATACATCTGATAAGGGGTTAATATCCAAATTTCCTAAAGAACCTATAAAACTCAACATCGAGAAAAAGATCTAGTTTAAAAATGGGCAAAGGACCTAAATAGACACTTCTCCAAAGAGGACATACAGATGTCCCATAGACATATAGAAATGCTCAACATTACTAATTGTCAGAGAAATGCAAATTACAGACACAATGAGATATCACCTCACACCAGTTAGAATGGCTGTCATCAGTAAATTAACAAACAACAAGTGCTGGCAAGGTTGTGCAGAAAAGGGAGCCCTCGTGCACTGCTGGTGGGAATGCAGCTGGTGCAGCCACTGTGGAAAACAGTATGGAGTTTACTCAAAAAATTAAAAATGAACCTGCCTTTTGACCCAGTGATTCCACTTCTGGGAATTTATCTGAAGAAACCTAAAACACTAATTCAAAAGAACATAAGCGCCCCTGTGTTCATTGCAGCATTATTTACAATCGCCAACATATGGACACAGCCCAAGTGTCCACCAGTAGATGAGTGGATAAAACAATTATGGGACATCACACAAAAGGATACTATTCGACTGTAAAAAAAAAAAGGAAAATTTTACCCTTTGCAACAGCACGGAGGGACCTGGATTACATCATGGTAGATGAAATAAGCCAATCAGAGAAAGACAGTTCCCATATGACTTCACTCATGTGTGGAATCTAATGAACAAACTTAACTAACAAGCAAAACAGAGACGGACTCATAGATAGAGAACAGGCAGACAGCTCTGAGGGGGTGGGGTGGAGGGGGTCGAGCGAAAAGGAAAAGGGCTCTTGGACACAGACAACAGTGTGGTGACTGCAGAAAGGAGGGGAATATAAGGGGGGTAAGTGGTGATGGGAAAAATACAATAAACTGTTTTTACATAAATCAATAAAAAGACTATTCTGTGAGCCTGCCTAGGGCTGGCTGCCTACTGGACCTGAAGTCCAGGTCTAGGCAGAGAACAGATATCTATAGCCACCGCTCTAGAAGCACAACTGTTTCTAGATGGAAAGCCAAGGTTCCCCAGGCAGGGTCAGGGACTCTGGGCTACCTGTCAGACTTCCCATTCTCCTTAGCGCTCCACTCTCCTTCTCTTCCTTGCCCTGTGTCTGGTCAGCAGAGATAGAAAATTGCATATTACCTGGTACAAGACAACTTTCGGAATCCCAAATATTTAGATTATTTCTCCTTTCCTTCTTTGTAAGTGAT